GAGAGAGAGAGAGAGAGAGAGAGAGAGAGAGAGAGAGAGAGAGAGAGACTTAGTGCTGATGCCCCTAGGTTTACTGGAGGATCAAGTGCTATCTATTTTCACTCTTTCGTTTCAAATTCTCAGTGCCAGGGCAAGAAGGCTGTATATGAAGCTCCAATTTTCAGGAAACATGCATCCTGAGAAGGCACCTGATTTGGAACAAGGAGTACTGAGACAGTTGTGAGATTAAGTTGTCTCCCATCTGTGTGCTCCATGATGCACAGAGCCCTGTCAGGGGAGCTATGTAGGGGCCAGAGGCTATTAAGTCATTACTTGGACTTTCAGGGACAGAGAGCCCCCCCTACGTGCAGACCCAGAGTTCTGGAAGCAGATCAGGACAATGGAAGCATTCAAGAGCTGTCCAGACCAGGGACTTCAGCAAGCACACAATGAGGGGAAGCCCAGCTCCTGGCCCTGGTCTGACAGGGACAGGGTGTGGAGACTGCAGAAAGACACAACTTGGACTAAGCCTTCTTTTCAAGATGCCAAAAGACATTTGCATCTGAATGGGGGTGGGAGGCAAAGCTGTGTCTAAGAAGTCACATCTGTCACTCCACACGTCACTCCATGCACATCTGTTCCAGCCATAGCTGATGGGGACACAGAGCTTCACAGAGTGCACGTGCCCTCACAGGAGGGGACAGAGCTGCAGTGCTAGGGACAAACACCACTACAAAGCCAGCTGGCAGTGAACACAGCATTTAGGAAATGAAGAAGTAGCTATAGTAAATAGCAAGAGAAAAAAACCCTTCATCTCTGTGTCCCCTGTCCCATGCACAAACCAGTACTGAGGGAGAACTTACAAGGACCTCATAAAAAATACAGTCACAAAAGCAGGAAAGTGATTGCTGAGATGCTGAGAACCACCCCACCCAGGGCGTTCATCACTACCAGGGCCACTGTGGTAGTAGCTGAGGCAGGACATGGCCAGAGCAGCCAAAGGTCAGGGGCTGTGGGGTGTGTTCACACAAGTGCTGCACATCCCCTCTAGCTGGTGAGACCTCACACAGCAACTGTGATTAAATACACAGCTCAATGCTAGCATTTTATGAGGCAATGGACAAAGCACATTTCTTTCCTCTTGGAACCCAACTTTCACAATTACAATTCACAGGGGATACAATTATTTCACGTGAGGTGTCTTTGGTGAGAAGAAAAACAGTCAGCCTACGCTCGTCCTGAGAAACTCAGAGTGTCCTGTCACTGGGAGGCCAGAACCTGCTATGGGGGGTGCCTTCCACAATACTGCCCATGACTCTGAGGGACCCCTGTGTCTGGACCTGGTTGTTTGTGGCTTAGAGAGTCCTTCACGTAGAAGATGAGGTGTATGACTCTTGCAGTTGGGTTGTTTTCGTTTTTATTTTCCAACTAGGAACCTTGAACTTTCCTTGCTTTCTTTTTACTTGTTCTTGAAATCAATGTAATAAAGTGGTTTGGGAGGGGAGAATTCAACTAGGACTTGGGAATGCCAGAAAATCAGACAATACAACAGCCAAAGAATCATAGAAATCACCTGGTCTCAGATATAGAAAATAAATTTTATCTCACTTTCCAGCTTTAATCAACTAGCAGCGACTGTCTAGTGATCCAAGGATCAGTGGGGTCCATTTGGAGGCTGTGACTCCGGAGAATGTGCATCCAAAGTGCCATGACGGTGTCAGGGCAGCCACGGAAAACACCGACCATGCTCGGGCCACCAGCCAGACAGGATGCAGCCAAGTGCTTGGCACAGTGTGAGCTGGGTGAAACTGCCCTGAGTCTTGGACCTTGCTCCTTGGGCTCCTCAGCAGCCAGCACTTAGGCCAAATTCCTGGGACACTCAGACCCAAGAATCAGCAACACAAACCACAACATCTGTGTGCTTGTTGCCTATTGTTACCCTTGTGAGCTCAAGGGTGACAAGAGCTCAACTCTGAAGAATTGAGGTTTAATGGCTTCTTCTATATGAGAAACCCAAAATATAGAGAGGGCAAAATGAAAGACAGACAAGAGGAAGTAGGGAAGCAGGTCTTTTGCATATGGGAAGAGAACCAAGAGACTCTGGGAGGCGGGAGGGAAGGAAGTGAAAGAGGATATAAAAAGAATTAAGTTATGACATATACATATATCTACCATCTACAGTGAATATGTTCATTATGTGCCACAAACTAAAACAACAATTTGGGTTTAATGAAGTCCTAATTGTGGCACTGCATGGCTGTGAAAACATTACTTCCCCACTCCCTCTCTGCCCCATTATTTTTAGTTTTGCTTACTCCTTCCAAAGTCCAAAATTTTAAGAAAAAAGGAAAAAGCTACCCATCTTCTTTAGAGTAAAGTTCTTAATGTAATTAGAGTTATGGCAAAGGCAGCTCTGTATTATTCTTCAGGAACGTATCACTCACAAGGTCTCCTTCAGGAGGTTCACAATATCAGAACTTAGAAGATTCAGTCTGAGCCGCACCAAAGAAAGAACTGCAAATAGTGGCGGAAATTAAATTAACATCAACTGATCACTCAAAAATCAGTTGCCAGAAGAGAGCAGGTCCCAGGCCTTCAAGCTAGCTCCAAGGAGGTGCTGTTCGAGAGCCACCCTGACTGCTGAACGCCACATAGTCAGCAGCTAAATGCTTGGGCCTACGTCACCCCAGAAACCAGAGCTCCTCACTTGTGCAAGGTGAACCGTTTTTTTGTTTTTTGTTTTTTTCACCTTGCTGTGTACTCAAGCTAGTGTCTTTCTCCTTTCTCAAGGCCCGCCCCTTGCTGGCTCTACTGGAAATCGCTTGTACTGGAAAAAGACAGCCCATGGGCCTTCATTCCTCTAAATTCCCCCTCACTTGCCATGTCTCTCTGGAGACCTAGAGTGTGGTAACTCTGAGAACTTTATTGACTTCTGTTTGTTTAATAGTTTATTGCTCTGGCTACAGGCGCCTTTCTGGACTCCAGCCACTCCCTCAGACTAGCCTCCTCACCCTTCTCTGACTGCTTTGTATGAAGCTGAGGAGACTCGGAAAACTACACCAACTTGGGGTTACACATTAAGTGACAGAGAGGGTAGGATTTCAAATCTACGTCTTCAGATTCTAAGTAAGAAATTTATTACTCTATTCATGTTATACTGCAAATGGTCTTTAATTTCTAAGCGTGAACTATAGAAATGAAAACATGTCAGTCTGTCCCAAAATGCAGGCCATTAGAATAATTTATATGTTTTATGTGGTCTACATAAATCCTTGCCCCAAAGTTGTTTCAGGGTCTGAGTAAATAATTAATTACTCTTATTAAAAGGTCACACTGTCAGCTGGGCATGGCGGTGCATGTCTGCAATCCCAGCACTTGGGAGGTTGAGGCATGAATATCATTACAAGACCAGCTTGGGCTACAAAGTGAGCTCACAGCCAGCCTGAGCTGCATAGCAAGACCTTGTCTCAAAAAGACCAAAAACGGTCAATGTCAACAGCGGTATTTAAGCTACCGACTTCTGACTTTGCAATCAAAGCCCAGGCCCTTCTAAACAGAGATGTCAGTGACCTCATGTGTCTGAGTACCTTTAAAACCAGGATGTATGTGAACAGTCAAATGATTAGAAAGCATGTTTAACTGACCATCTCCTTTTTAGCAATACACGAAATAACAGAGCATCTTACAATGAATGGCCTCATGAATTTCATAAAATGCAGTATTTCCTTGTACTGATGTCATAGATTTCCAGAAAAAACAAAAAATTAAGACAAATGACCAAAAGAAAGATCGTAAGTCACAGAACCTATAACTCATTTCTGAAAAATCTTTAGCAAATGACCAGACTGGTCATTTGCTAAAGAATTAACAGTATGTGCAACAGGTAAACTGAAGCATTGTCAGCAGAGTGATACAGACAGTCCTGTCTATGAAGCATAATTTTTAATACCTAAAAGGACAAATATAGGTATTTTTTCCTCCCAAGTATCTTGCCCTTTACTACTCTGGTTTGCTCAGTATCACTCAGATTCACTGTCCAGGTCTGCAGTTCTACCTAATTCAATTCTGGAACTGAAAAGTAAGGTCCAAGCTGGTGCAGGCCTTTAATTCCAGCACTCTGGAAGGGCGAGGCAAGGGGACTGCAAGCTCAAGTCCAGTTTGGCCAACTCAGGGATAACCTGTCTCAAAAAATTAATTTAAAAAGACCCAAGAATATTGCTTAGTAGAAAGGCACTGACTGGGTTCAATTTTCAGTGCTGGTGAAGAAAGAAAAGAAAACAAAAAAGGAGAAGAGAGGAACTCAGAGGAA